TCTTTAAAAAGATGTATAAGTGAAAATCGTAAAGGAAAAGATTCATAAATTAGACTACATTAAAAATAAGAACATCTGTTTATCAAAACACATCATAAACAGAGTACAGAGAACTATAAATTGAGAAACGATGTATACAAACTTACTACCAACAAAAGACTAGTATATAAAATATATCGAGAACCACAAATCAATAAGAAAAGACAAAAAACAATTTAAAAATGGGCAAAAGGTATAAATAAGCATTTCACAAAGGAGAAAACATAAATGACAAAAAATACATATATGAAAATGTTCCCAATTTCAATAATTTTAAAAATTAAAACTCATAATATATGCTATTTCACACCAATCAGATTAGCAAAAATTAGTTTGACAATACCAAGTGCTAGAGAGAATGTGAAGCAAGAGAAAGTCTCATATACTGACAACAGAAATACTAATTGAAAAGGAAAACATTTTGGAATTGCCTGATAAAATTAAACACAAACATACTCTGTCACCCAGAAATTCCAGTCCTACATTTAGACCCTAGAGAATGCTGATAGAAGCATATAATAACAGAAAACTAGAAACAATATAAATGCTCACTGTCAGGAAAATGGGTAAATAAATACAATGAGTTAATATACAGCAGCAAAAAATGAAAATACTACAGCTATACACCATGACAGATAATTTTTACATATGATTGAGCAGAAAAAGAAAGTTACGGAAATATATCTATAGTATATGATTCAAAACATAATATTAAACAATTATGTATGTATGTATGTATGTATGTATGTATGTATGTATGTATGTTTAAGACAGCACAGAAGCACAATAGGACAGTGACCCATGGAGGAAGAAAAACATCTACGGGCAGTGGGAAGAGGGCTGGAAGGGCATAAGCTCATCAAATAGACTTCAAAGATACTGATAATATCTTTCTTGCATTGAATTATAGACATATGTGTATTTTTTATATTGTCACCCTTTAAAATATACATTTACATTCTCTACACTCTTATGTATGTACGGTATATTTCATAATAAAACAGTAATCAATCAAACAAACAAACAAGGCCAGAGACTAAGAAACTAGAGTTGGGATCCATAAAATGGGCCCAGTAGGTTCTGAAGGATGAATATGAGACAGCAAAGATTTCCTGAGGTTCTGATTCATGGCTGAAACTAGAGAAAAGCTTCATTAGAGTAAGAAAGCTTTTATGTGGGGCAGAGACTCCTGCTGGTGCCCTTGGAGGTTGCCAGGAAATTTCATGGGAAGTAAATGAATGATTTGAGAAGGATAATGAGTAAAGGAGTATTGACCTTCTTTTGTGTCTAGGAAGGTAGACAATTTGCACTCTTACAGATAAAAACTTTTACTATCTTTTTATAAATATGAAGGCATTGGCGTAGGTTACTTAAAAAAATAAAGGTTTATTTTCCCTCATTTAGCAGGAAGTTCAGAAGTAAACAATACAGAGTTTGTTCAATGGGTTAGCAATATTTTCTAAATGCACGCTCTGTCTTTCCACTCTGCCATTTTAGTGTGGGGTTTTTTTAGTCCCATATCGCTTCAAACTTCTCATCTATCTTTAATGTATCATTAAGATGTTCTCCTGATTCTTTTGTCAGTAAAGATTTTCCTAAAATTCTCCCATAGCCTGCCACTCATATCCTAGTAGTCAGAATGGTATCGCATGGCCATTTCTTGCTGCAATAGAGGCTGGGACAGTAATTATTTTGCCACTGTGTCCTACATAGTAGGAGCAGGCAAGAATGAAGCAGAAATCAGTGGCAGGGGTTTCTGGGTAGCTATTCAGCAATGTCTGTCAAAATACTTCACTAAGAATCCTTTCTCTTTTCTCCCCAGGAGCCAGTCTACTTGATGACTTATATAAATATTTCTCCTTCCATCACTCCAATGGAGACACCATGACTGTCATGGATCCAAAGCAGATGAATATTGCTGCCGCTCTTTGGGCTGTTGTCTCTTACGTCGTTGCAGACATGGAAGAAATGTTGCCCAGATCCTAGCAAGAACAAGAAATAAGGCCTTTTTGCCCTTTCTGACCAGGAATCCTGGGTCTTCAGCTTCAGAAAACCCTTCTTCACTAACAATTTCATCTGATTCATTTTCAAAGCACACTCTTTTTTCATATTATCATCTGTCTTGATACTTTCCAAAGTCTCTGTTTCTAGAATAATGAATGATTTCCACTCCCACATAGAATCAACATATGGTAAGGATCACAGTGGGAGCATTTCTTTATACCACCTGTAAAAATATATTGTTTCTGTTTTAATAAGTAAATACTGGGTAAATCTTTGGAAGACCTCTGATTTTTGTATATGAATTTATTAACATTAAATCTAATATAATGACTCATTTTTTTTGTTTTGTTTTATGTTATTTATTGAAGGAGTAGAGGAATACACAATTGTTGTATGGTCTTAGTTTAATGTATGGAGGCATTTAGTTTCTAATTTGTTTTTTTATTAGGATTTAAAAAATAAGATATGGATTTTTTTAATTAACAGAAAAAGATGTCACCATTAGGGAAAAAAATCAAGTATATATAAACCTATTGTCTTATTAAAAATGAGTACTAGAGTCTATCATCAGATAAAAGAAAATACTATTTTACATTTATGTTTTATGCATTTCACACAATATTTTTTATGCATTTCACACAATATTTTTAATTTTATGACGGGCTTATTCATATTTTGCTGATAAACGTATTGAGGCTCAGGGAGGCTAAATAATATTCACAGAGTCCTACAGAGCAAAAATATTGATCCCTATCCATTCCGGGAATTATCTTTACTTTTCTTCCATACACAATGTTCAGTATTCAATAAAAAATTACAAGATACACCAAAAAATGCAAAGAAAATTAGCTAACTAATTGTCAAGAGTTAAAGCAAGTAAGAGAACTAGACTATGAGATAATCCAGATATTGGAGCTCTCCGATTGGGACTTTAACATAACTGATTAGTATGTTAAAAGATCTAGTGGGAACAGTGGACTACATACATGAACAGAAAAGTTGTTAACAGATGAAAACTTTAAAATAGATTCAATTGCAAATGCTAAAATAAAAACGACAGCATTGAAGATGAAGAACTTCCTCGTTGGCTTATCAGCAGACTGGAAAGGGCTGAAGAAAGAATCAATTAGCTTGGAAATAGGTCAACAAAATTATCCAAACTAAAACACTAAGAGAAAAATAAGGATATTTTCAGAAAAACGAGAACTGAAAGTTTACCACCAGTATACCTTCACTAAGGGAAATCAGAAAATGTGTACTCCTGGCAAAACTGAATGATCCTAGAGTGAAGACTAATGAATAAGAAGAAGTGAAGAGTCTGGCTTCGGGCCAAAGCCTATATGTGATCTTTCAAGCCCAGCTACAGGCAATTACAAAGGCTTTGCCTGGCAGGCCTCAAAGGTGAAAACTGTCCTCCCCGCAACAGACTTGGTGTGCAACCAGTGCACCCTAGTTTTCTGGAGGGACTCGGGCCCTCTAGGCGAGCCAGACTCATACACATGTCTGCATTCCTTGCCCAGACACCTCTATTTAGAGGCCCGGGGGTCCTGACTAAGACAGTTTTGTCTATGCTGACTCAGTTCTTTTCCACTTCTATGCCTTTCCTCTGTCCCCCACAACACCCTCTCCCTCTCCCTCTCCCTCTCCCTCTC